GCCCAAGAGGAGGACGATTTCAGAGCTCTGTGATTTTGTGGTCTCGTGTGTGAGGTCAGAACAGCCCAAATGGAACCAGCGCCATCAGTGACAGCTGGCAGAGGAGCGTGGGCTCAGGAGCAGCTGGGAAGCCTATCTGTTCAGTGAAGAGCTGGAGGTGTTATCTGCCAGCAGAGGGCTTTGTCACTGTGCAGGGCAGTCAGGTGGCTCGAAGACCCCTGCATCTCTGCGTCCTGCCATTTCATTCAAGTTCCAACAGTGCCACGGCCAGGGAATGGGTAGCACTGTGGCAACGCAGAGCAAAAGTGTGCCAGTGTTCTTCCTACCGAGACTCGTCCTCTGTGGACTGACTCCCCAGCTGCCCCTGGGGACCTGTGGATTCAGGTACATTTTTAGATGAATCCCCACATCCTCCTGGGAAACTCAAGAATGAGTGACTCAAATCCAGACCTGCCATCTGAAGGCTGGAGATCTGAACACAGCAGCCAGATGGACTTCGTGGGGCAAGGCTGAGGACAGGGCGATGTGGGGCTGGACCAAGGTGCAGTAGGACGTGGTGGCCTTGGGTATCTGAAAAGCAGATTGGACCTTCACCTGCCCATTTATGTCAGCTTTGCCAGCAAGAAGTAAATTGGCAGACCTTTGTCCTCTCACGGAGGCCAAAATGGGGAAACACACACACACACACACACACACACACACACACACGCGCGCGTGCATATACACACAATGCACAGGGCTCCTGCTTTCTGAGCTCTTCACCCACAGAGTCCCTCTTCTCTCCTGGCAGCTGTCGTCTTTGGAGCCTGAAGCTCATGCACACCCTAGCTGTGATACACACTACAAACACCACGTCACTCAGCCTCTCCTGAGTCCACCCCCGCTACACTCGCCTACCCCATCTGACAGTTGGGTGAATTTGATCTGTGAGACAGCAGCAGGCTAGAGCCAGGGAGACATGGAGAGGGAGAGCTTGTCCTGCTCCTTAGCAGGGGAGCCAGGGTCGGGGACGTCTGGGGCTCCTACGGACCGACCTTCATGTCCTTCTCTACCTGCAACTTCCCCACCTTGGGAGCACATTTGAGTCAGCAGACCGAGTCTCACGCAGAGCCAGCATTACCTCTGGATTTCTCACTGACCCAAAGCAATAAATTCTCTCCCTGTCACAGCTGATCGGAGGGGATTTTCTGACACATTCGATGGAAGTAATCCCCCTTACAGATAGTGCTGTCTGCTCTTCCCCCAGGTATCTCTGGCTTTCTCTGGGCCTGACCCTTTGGTACCAGGCAACCTGGAGATTGCTTCTGAGCGATGTGTAGAGCCGTGTGTTGACGGGGCAAGAGTTTGAGGAAGAGGAGTTGAAAAGAGACAGGCGGCTGTCTCCAGAGCCCTGAAGACTAGGAGGGGAGACTAAATCACTCCGAACCTCTACAGAGCATGCTCAGTGGGCCAGGCAGCCCTAAAGGTGGTGCGATGTCCTGGTTCCCCACAGGCACAGAGCTCCTGCTACTCTGAAGCTCACATCCTAGAGAGGTGCGCAGATGGGGAGACAGAAAATTGGCAAATGAGTGGGTGACAAGAAAAGCACTTGCACAGAATCACAAGCTGGAGTGGTTTCTGCTCTAGTCAAGTACAGAAGGCTACTATGTCTCCCTGTGTCATTACCTAACTTACCCTAAAGCTGACTGTGCTAATACCCAGGGATTTCAGAACTGAGCTATGGAGCTCCAGTTTGGCCTTCAGTCCAAGACAGCAGTGCAAAGCCTCACAAATGGAAGTGATCTTGAAGCCACAGCTGAGAGGAGAGAGACAAACCTGCAGCCTGGCCCCCAGCAAGCAGGCCTCCTGCTAAAGCAAGTGAAAAATCAGTATTCAAATAGGATTTAAGCAAGAATCCTGTCCCATCACACACTATTTGTTGAGGTCTGGATATAAGCCAAAGTTACTCAATCTTTGGAGCTGAACGAGAATCTCAGTATCTCCAAAGGGAAAAGACAAAAAGAAAATCAAGAGGTAGCAGCTCCAAGAGGACACAACAGTTGATATTGAGACACAAAAGCAGCCATTATAGGCAGCTCTAGAAAAGAAAGGGCAAACTCCTGAGCGATGAACAGAGAGACAGACCACCTCGGAGCGGGAGCAGATGAATCACACGCAGAGCCAAGCTGAGATTTTAGAGGCAGGAAATGTGTAACAGCCAAAATGACAGTACAGATCTGGCTCAGCCGCACGGCTCTGCCTGGCAAGCACAGGGTCCTGGTTCGATCCCCGTACCAAACAAATAAAAAAATAACCGAAATGACAAAATCCAGTGGCAAACCCAATACATCAGTAGACTCAATAACAATGTAAATGGCAGATCAATATAAACGGCCCAGTCTGAACAACAGAAAGGAAAGAGATTTAAACAATGAAGAAACGAGCTCAGGACTCTGTGGTACAATACTAAGGAGCTAACGTTCCTGTCAGGAAGGAGGAAAGAGTACAGTTAGAGAACATTTTGGTCAGAAATAAATGGTTAAAACTCCCCATGTTTGGTGAAAGACACAGGTGAAGATTCAAAAAGCTCAGTTACCAAACAAGATAAGGTCAGGAATTGTCATAACCAAACTACTAAAGCTAAAGACAGAGAGAGAACTTTTGGTGTGGTGTGGTGTGTGGTGTGGTGTGTGTGTGTGGTTACTGGAGACTGAACCCAGGGCCTTCACACTGAGCTATAGCCCAGCCTTTTAAAATTTTTTTTTAATCTAAACACAGGGCCTCGAAACACCAGGCATGGTGGCGAATGCCTCTAATCTCAGCACTTGGGAGGCTGACCCAGGAGGATCTCTGGTGAGTTTAAAGCCAGTCTGATCTACAAAGTGAGCTCAAGGCCAGCCTGAAGGTTGCATTTTAAAAAATAAAAAAAATAAATAACTAAACAAATAAAGACAGGGTTTCACTAAGTCACTAAGTTGTCAACACCAGGCTCAGATTTAATGACCTTCCTGCTTTAGCCTTCCTGAGTGTTGGGGTTACAGACATATCCCGCCACGCCCAGCTCTGACTACAGATTTCTCATCAGAAATCATGAAGTGGAACGATATTTTTAAAGTGCTACAAGAAAAAAAATAAAGCCCAGCCAAAAATTCCATCTTCCATAAAGGTATTGTTTAGGAATAAAGGTGAACGAAAGATGTCCTCAGGTGGAGAAAAACTGAAGGACGTCATTGCCAGCAAAGTGACTCTAACAGCAATCCCATAGGACGCTCCTGGGCAGAGGGAAATACACTGGAAGGAAGCCGGGGGCATTGCTGTGACAGGGGAGTGCTCTGTGGATCACTACACCAGACTTCTCCGTCCGAAGTTCCCTCCAGTACAAGGGTTGAGAGTGAAAACTGTGGCATTTCTGAGGACCTTTTGATTTGTGTACCTCTGACACGATGACAAATGCATTAACAGGCGCTGGCATGGGGTTAAGATCTTTATGCTCAACTCAAAGTGGCAAATACCAACTCTGGGTAGCCTGGAAAGTTCTCAGAACCAGCCTGGCATCTAGCAAGAGCTGCCTGAGGATTGCCAAAGAAACCACCTTAAACGCGGGTTGGCGTTTCTGTCAAAGGCGGGCCTCGGCAGTGCGGTGCATGTGGAGTGACACGCATGTCCCCTGCATGTTGTGAGACTGCACGATTAGCGTGCTATTGTGGCAGAGGCTGAGATTTAGTCTTTGTTTTTCCATAGCCAAACGCTGAATGAAAGAGGATTTGAATGGAACGATAAAAATGGCCAAAACACCCAAAAGAACTCAGGAAAGGGGGCTGGGGGTTTAGCTCAGTGGCATAAGTGCCTGCCTTGCAAACAGGCAGTCGTGAGTTTGATCCCCGGTACCGATAAAAACGAAAAAGACCAGAAAAAAAAAAAAGAACCCAGGAAAGGCACTATAGACTAAATACAAATGCATAAAAAATAAAATGGTAGATGTACTCAAATAATATCAGTAATACTAAATGTAAGTGGTCTAAAGTCATCGATGAGAGGTAGCAAACTTTAGAACTACAGCAGAGCCATAAAAACTCATAAACACAGCTGGGCAGGGTGCCGCACTCCTGTAATTCCAGCACTGGGGAGGCTGAGGTGGGAGGACAGCTGTGAGGTCAAGGCCAGCCTGAACTGCATAGTGGACTCTGTCTCCAAAAAAAAAAAAGTCATAATTTTAAAGGTAAACGAAAAAGATAGTGAAACATTGACACCACCCCCCCAAAATGTGAATTTGGGAGGAGGACCAGGAAAATGAAGGCTAGGGGTTGGAAGCTGGAGACAAGTTGTCTCAGTCTCTGGGACCTGTTTTTGTGGGGAAAGCAGGGCTCACCGTGGGGTCCCAGCGGGCAGTGTCGGGAAGGAACCACTTGGCCCCAAGAGAGGCTCCTGGCATGGCCCCAGCTGGGCAGGGGCTGGGGTCTGGGAGGGAAGGGGCACAACCTGGGGTGGCAGCGGACCAGCTGGGCGCCCCTCAGGAGCCCTGGGAGCTCCGGGCGGCAGGGGAGCCCCCTCCACCTGCGGGGGGGGCAGAAGAGGAGGGGGAGGGGAGTGCGAAGGGAGGGAGAGCAGGTCATCGCCTGGGGCTGGGAGAGAGGGTCAGGAGTAGAGGGCAGACAGATAAACGCCCCAGCATCTGCAGTGACCTCTCCGCGACCTTGCCTCGACCTCACCCATTGGTCCCCTTACTGCAACAAGGAGACCCAAGCGCCCCCCGGGGGAGGTGTGTCCGCAGACGCCTCGATGGCAGTCCCGTCCATCGTGTCAAATCGGCCTTCGCAGACGCTGGGCACAGGGAGGGGGCGAGGAGTGGCCGTTGCCCGGGCCCCCTGCAGCGGTGCCCCCCACGTTCAGAGGTCCTGGGGTTGGGGGCAGAAGTCTGGAGCGGGGCTCCCGCCCCTGCAGGCCTCCTCCCCCGACGTGCGCCCGCAGGTGCCGGCCGCGCGCTGTCCCCTCCCCGGGGTGTGTCGCCGGCCTCGGGCGGGCGGAGGCGCTATTTGAAGGCTCGGCGGCCACCGAGAGCAGGGGACAGCATGGCCACAAGCAACGCGCCGTCCGCCACCAGCTATGTGCCGCCGGAAGTGCCCACCGGGGTGCGCCTGCTGCTCACCATCCCCTTCGCCTTCTTCCTGCCCGAGCTGGTGAGTGCGCGCAGCCGGGGAGCGGGAACGAGGGCGGGACCGGGACCGGGACGGGACAGCCTTGCCGCCCTGTCCTGCACCTCCGGCGCAGGCCTGGGCTTGGGCTCTGGGCTTGGGCTCCTGCCGCTGGGTTGGTTTCCTCTCTCCCAGCAAACCCAGAGAGGGCCAGGGTCGCCGGGCCGCCGGGTCACTGCGGGAGTGCAGGAGTGTGAACTCCATCCCAGAGTCCAGGTCTCAGCCACACACTGTGAAGGACTTTCAGGACATGGTCTCTCCCACTTGTACGGTCTAGAAGTTCAGAATAGGAGGTGACCTCTGGCTAGATGTTGGGGGGTGGCTCTGAATTATCACTTCCACAGACCTTGAACTTGTGTACCTGCCGGCTCCCCACACCGGGAGGCTCAGGACTAGGATGCCTGCCATTTACCTATCCCTGAGCTGCCCGGTAGTACTGGGAAACCTGCCTCGCCCCGCTCCCTGCCTGCAAGGGCTGGGTCATCTGCAGAGCTCTGTGCCCCAGTGTTCCACCGAACCAAGTCCCTGCAGCCGTCTGCTGTCGCCCCTTTCACTAGGGGACACTGGAGTCTGGTGAAGAGTCAGGGCCAGAGAGTGTTTTGCTCTCCAGACCCTTTTTTTTTTTTTTTTTTTTTTTTTTTTTTGGCTTTTTCCTTATTTATCAGTACCAGGGACTGAACTCACGACTGCCTGCTTGCAAGGCAGGTGCTTATGCCGCTGAGCTAAATCCCCAGCCCCTCTCCAGACCCTTCTGAGAGTTCACTTAGGGGGTGGCCTCTTCTCACCTGCTTTGAATTTGGCAGTGCAGCCTGGGGCTGGGAAGGAAAGACACAGAGCACAGCGGCACTCCCTACAAGGTAGACCTAAGGAGCCCTCTCACCTGGTCGCCTGCCTCCAAGGTTGGACCTGGTCAGTGAGCTTCAGGCAAGCTGGTTGAAGGGTGCCCACCGAAGTCCCCAAGAAGGGAAGCTGGGTGGAGCAGGTCCAGCATGTGGGTGGTGAAACCCCACCCAAGAGGCAGGTTCTGCCAGGGCTGCCTCCCCAGGCACAAACGTGGGCATCCTGCCAGCCTGATGGCATCTCAGTACTCTCACGAGTGCTATGTGCCAGGACCTGGGTGTGTCCCTCACCTTGGGACAGCCAGCAGGGCTGCCAAGGCCATGGTTGGCTCCACCACTTTTTATTTGGTGGAGCTTTGTGTCATCCGTGCAAGCCACTGGTGCCAGGCCTGTGACTTCCCAGGGGTGCTCTGGCTGCTGGAGACAGAGCCAGGCATGTCTCTTCTGTGTGGTCAGATTGTGGCACCAGCCAGGAGAGATCATCTGCACTTGCCAGGTCAGGGAGGGGCCCCGGCCTGTCACTGGCCTCAGGGGACAGCTAGAGTTCCAGGTGGGTGGCAGCAAAGAGGCCAGGAGGGAACCAGGGACAGAAAACCAGAGGGACGGAGTTTCCCGAATCAGGAAAACATTGGGGGAGCTAATTATGAGAAATGTCTCCACTTGCCTGGCCCCTGCCAGGGAAGCTCCTAGAAGACAAACTCGTGCTTATGCTGGCCCTGGAAACTGTCCTGATCTGGGGGAATACATCGGTCCACTTTTATTCATTACATTATATTTTTAAATAACTGTGGAGTTACCACAAAGCTGCAATAATAGTACAAAAACTCTATCCCGTCCACATCTCCTGTAGCACCTCTCAAAATCAGGTGCTCAGACTAGCTGGCTCGAATTTTCCTCATTCCCCCCTCACCCACCCCCACACCCAACCCCCACCCCAGCCACCAATATCCTTTCTCTGGTGCAGGATCCAGGCCAGGACCCCGCATGGTGTTTGGCTGTCTCATCTCCTTAGTGTCCTTTAATCCAGGACAATTCCCCCATCTCTGTCCCGAGGCTTTTGAAAGAGAACCAGCTACTGTCTATACAGTGACCTTCTCTGCAGCCCTGCCTGATGTTTCCTGGTTGTGACTTTACTTACAAACTCCATTCATTGTTGGAAACTCGGCACTAATGCATCTATGTGCATCCATCTGCACCCAGGCGCCTGTCTATCCAGGGGGCTCATTCTGTGTGTGCTCTTCTCACCTTAAAAAAAGCGCATTTGTAGCACAGAATCCAGAATGGAGAGTTTCTCAGATCCAGGATGAAGAACTGGGAGGAGAGAAAGTGAAAGTGGGTGGCAGTTCTGACCCTGCTGCACAGAAGAGAAGACACACCGGCTGGGAAGGGGAGTGCAGAATCAGCCTGGCACAAGTCCTTTGCTCTGGCCCTGGTGGCCTGGGTAGGTCACTGGGATGGTGTGAGAGACCAGGGTCCCAAGGTCTGCAGATTCTTAGTTTTGGGGTCAGAGGCACCACAGACAGGCGTGTGTTTTTCCAAGGACAAGAGTTCAGAGAAGGGACTGTAAAACTGAGAACAGTGAAATTGAAATCCAGTAATGGAGGATGGGTGTTGGGGTGGGCTCCACACTGTGGTGGCCGCAGCCACCGGATCCCTCCTGCTGCTGTTCACAAAGCACCTGAGAGAAGGCCTGTGCCCACCAGAGAAGCCAGGCATGGGGTGCATACCTGGGAGGCAGAGGTAGGAGGGTCCTAAGTTCAAGGACAGCATGAGCAATTTAGGGAGACACTACCTTACAATCAAATCATTAGAGCACTGAGTTCAGAACTGCTTAGTTTTAATCCCCACCCTGCAAACCAGAAAGGATCAGAGAGTACCACCAGGCAGGGCAGGGGTCGAACAAGGTCAGAGTCTTCCCATCAGCATCCCTGAGGCCACAGCCACCCTGGCCGGCAACAGCTTGAGTCTCTTGTGCCTCTTGAGGGTGACAGGCTATGCTGACTCCCACTCTAAGGGGTCCTGTGATTTCTCCTCCCACCTGCCCTCCCCTGCCATCTTCTCTTTCTGATCTTTCTCCACGATGCTTCACGACTGAGTTTTTTTAAATTTTATTTTGAAAGTAGTAAAATACAACAGAACGAGACAGAATAAAGCCAACTAAGATCGTACAGTGAAACTGGTATAGAATTTCACAGCAGGTTACCAGGATTAACAGTAATAGGTATCACAGTGTATTTCGTTATCTTTACAATAGTTGTTCTTTCAATCACGTATATCAAAATAAAATGAAATACAAAACATTATAGAACTTATTAAAACAGAATATTGAATAGAGCAGTACCATTAATCAGAATACAGCAAAACAGTAATAAAAATATTTGCCTTCAAAGAGATGGTAGAAGGAAATCCCCCTTATTTGCTGTGGTCATCCTCCTAGGAGATGCTCAGATTTCTGGTTCCCATTTGCTAACAGCAGGGGCGGGGCAGGAGAAGAGGGCTAGGGGAAGTGGGATGTTTGACTCTAGGCCGTGCGCCAGTAAGTTCACTATTGCTTAGCAGGGAGGCAGGCTGGTTACTTGGTTTCCCAGTGTCCTAAGATCCAACATGGTGTGGATCTCAGAAGACACTGGTGGTTCTCCCCCTGGAGAGGCCATAGTCTGCCACACTGCAGCCACTTACCAGGGAAGGGAGGTACTTGCTTGGCTTCCCAGCGTCCTAAATTCCAACATGGCACAGATCTCAGGAGCTGCTGGTGGTTCTCCCCCTGGAAGGGCCGAAGTCTGCAACACCACCACTGTTTACCAGGGAGGCGAGCTTCTTGCTTGGTTTCATGATTGAGTTTTTGACGAATTCATATTTTTTTAACTTTTCAATTTTCCATAATGATAGATTCTTAGGAAGCTGTCAAGATGGTTTGGGGAGGTCTCCTTTCCCAGCCCTCATTCCCCATGGTCACTTGGTTCCTAACTGGGTTACAGAATGAGAACCCGGAAGCTGACATAGAGAGGCAGAGACACTTCTGGGTCATTGTCTCACCCCTGAAGATTTGTGTGGTCACCATCCTAAGCCACGGGTGGGACTGTCCTGTCACCACAAGAGCCCCCTCCCACCCCAGCTTTCACCTCACTCCCCTCTGAACAAACCCTGGAAAGCATCCCTCCTGTCATTGTAATTCTGTTATTTGGAGAAAGTTATGAGTGACAGGATTCATCCATATGCCAGCTTTGACGCCGGCTTCTTCCGAGTGGCACAGCGCCCTTGACATCCATGCACGAGGTCGCTTATGTCCCTGGGTCCATCCTTCTTACTGTGGTCTGTTTAACTCATCTCCTGCTGAGAAACACTGCCAGTATTGGAGCAGCCGTGAACACAAGTTGGGCTTTTGTGTGGATTGAATTTTTAGTTCTCTGGAGGAAATGCCTGGGTGGGATTTGTGAGTGGAATAATAAATGTTGGCTTGGTTTTTAGTCAAAAACTAACAAGGTATTTTCCAAGATGACCGGAAAGTAATTTTTGAATTTTATATTCCCAACCAGCTGCTAGTGAATTTGGACTCCTCATTTGAAAATAGTAACATAAAAACATAACCTTCAAGAGTGAGGAACTTTGGAATCAATGAATTTTAAGACAAGAACAGACAGCTATTTATTCCCAGTCTCTTCTGTGTACCAAGAAGGGAGCCATGCCAGGCTGAGCCTGTGGAGGGTGTGACCGCCAACCCTACCTCATTCCTCAGAGCCTGCATGTGTGGGTAGCTGGGGACCCATCAAGGGATGACCTGTTGTGGTACCTGTTGACTCCATTTAATTAATTAATTAATTAATTTTGGAAAGTGAGGGTTGAAACCAGGACCTCCACACTAAGCTATATCCTCAGACCTTTTATTTCTTTTTGAGACAGGATCTCACAAAGTTGTCATCCTCCTGCCTCAGCCTTCCATCGTGCTGAGATGACCGTATGCACCACCCCATCTGGCAAATGAGCTTTTTATACAGGCTGAGGGGGAAGCCAGGAGCTCCTGCAGAATCTGTCACAGAGGGAATGCTCTGTGGATAAGACACCAAGAAAGTCGTAACTTTTAACCTTTGCAGTTAAGATTTTTACCTAGTTAAAAAGGAACAACTAAGAAAACTTCCAGAGATTTGG